CAGCGATCGAGCCTTCTTCCCCGCCGACGCACATCCCTCCGTTACAATTGAATAAAGCGACCCCGCAATGGACCGATCTCCGGCCAGCGTCGCCACCACCTCCTCGCCGCCGTGGTTGCACAGAGAACGCAGCGCCGAAACGCAATACTCTTTTCCAGGCGACGAAGTTGCGGAATTCAGAGTTCTTATTAGCAGAGGCAGAGCCGAGGCGTGAAGAATCGTAGTGCTTCCTTCTGAACTCTCCGCCAACGCTGCTATTACTGCAAGTGAATCGGAAATCAACTCGTCGTTGACGGAGGTGGCGATTATGTCGAGTAGAATCGGAACGACGCCGGAATTAAGAACGGTTTTGTTGTTTTTGGGGTACAGTAAGAGTCCGAAAATGGCAACCACTGCGTTTTTTTTTCCCGCAGGTTGTTCCTTCCTTAATGAGCTCGATTAGCCCTGTAATGGCGTCCGGCATTTCGCCGATCAATTTCCGGTACTCCTTCACCGACGAGAGGTAGAACAATGTCGCGGCTGCTAATTGACGAGATTCCAAACAAAACCCAGATTTTAAAACAGAGAGAATAGGCGCCAATCCTCCATTTTCCACCACTAAAATCTTCCCAGTCGAATGCTTTGAAAGCTTCAACACGGCAGCAATGGCGTTTTCCTGCGTGGATTTGTCCAAAGACGAAAGAAGATTCAACAATGGTGGAATTATACCCACTTTAATCAAACAAGACCGATTGAAAATGTTCGATTTCGCCAACAAACGAATCTCATATGCCGCTTTGTTCTTCTCCGTGCTCGTTCCAAAAACCAGTTGCCGGAGAAGATACTCCGATGAGAATTTCATCGCTTCTGCAGCAGCCGGACTCCCCGGAATTATAGTTCGAGTTATATCATGAGATCTGGCGTTGAATTTAGCCAAAGAAATCCCATTGTCGACACAAAATTGATGGATTAACTTCTTGAGACTCGTATTCGGAACCAGTTCGGAGCTCGTGAGCCTCTTTCCTGTTTTGGGGCAGAGCAAATTCCCGGCGGAAAGCCATTTCTGAATCGAAGCTCGATCATATGTCTGTCCAGTAGATACAGTAACAGGATCAATCATGAGCTCAAGAGAAATCGGGCATCGAAAATCTTGTGGGTTTAAACAACTGAGCGTCTCGGGATTGCATTTAATATCCGTTTGATTTTTGTCCCAAAAATCCAGAGCTTCGAACAGAGTTAATCTGCTGTAGCTCAGAAAACCCACCAAACTGCTCAGAATCTGAACGTCTCGTTCTTTCAAATCCGAATATTGAAAATCAATCTCCTCCTCCAAGAACTTGATCTCTTTATTACAATCACTCCATCTTCGAATTTCAAGGTAGCTAAGAACCCGTTTAATGGCGGTCAAATCCGGTTCAATCCCTTTTTCAAACTGCAGCAAAATGGATTGAAGTCGCTTCATCGTCAGTTCATCATCTTTATCCAGTCCAAATTTCGAAATTCGTGCTTGTTTCACAACTAGTTCAACCAATTCCTTCACATCATCGCCAGTATCAATCCGATTCAATGGCAGTACGTCCAGAGCCGTAGCGAGCGCCCGAATCAATACCCAAAACTGAGTGGCAACGAATTGGGATTTCATTAATATCCAAATCTTCGCATTCGAACGCGAGCAATCTTCAAACAAGAACAAGATTTTTTGAAACGTGAGATGAAGTTCTGAAAAACAGAGCACAACAGAATCCGGAAGAACATCAGGCATGTCGCGAAGCTCCTCGAAGAATATCAATAAGATTCCGATTTGTCGAATCGTTTCTCGAGCGTTTCGTTTTTGTGTCACGAATGTTTTCAGTTGGCGATTGCATATTTGACGGCAGAGATCGATCAACGAAGCCAAAAGGGTCGCCGGAGAAATTGCTTCGCATGGATGAACCGCCGGAAAAGTCAGAATCCGACGATCGGAGCTTATGGAATTTTGAAACATTGAAGAATTCAAAAAATGAAAAATCTGTTTTGTAACAGAAAATTCTGGAGGAGAAGTACGAAATTTAAAAGACGGAGAATCATGGAGTGGGGATTTTTCAAGTTTCAACTGAAAGGAAAAGGACGGAGGTGGGTTTGATTTGCTGCGAAAAATATGTACACGTGGAGGGTTTTTGTTGGGCATGTGTAGCTTCCTGGATCCTGCTCGGTTCGGGTTCGGGTTTTTAATCAGGTACGGATAATTGTGGGCTCCACAAACCGACCTAGAAACGTGGACCAATGGAATGGCGACATGTTACTTGCGGCAAAGGTATTGTCAGCTTGGTCTACGCAACGTCAGATCCGACTCGTGGCTGGACGCGTGTTTAGCTCACCTCAATTGAAATCTTATCTTCCGAAAATTAAAAAAAATCTAAATTTAACAACATAATTTAAACATTAAAAAAATAATACTAATAATAGTCAAGGTTTATTTTTTATTTTTTATAATTTTATTTTATTTAAGGTTATCCTCAAAATATTATATGATATTATAATTGTCATGAGTGAATTTAAAGCTACCTTTCCCGAAGGGAAATAAGCTTACATTTCCTTTTCGTATTTGAACTTTCCAGAATTTTTCATTTTTTCTAATATTCTTTTAAAAAAAATCATTTAAAAAGATTAATATTTTTGATATTTCCAAAGGAATATAACTCAATAATTAATATGTTAAATTTTTATTCTTTTTTTGTTTCAAATTAATAATTATTATTTTGATTTTTATTATATATATATATTAATTTCAACCTAAATATAATTCAATAATTTATCAATATTTTTTCAGATTTAAAAGTTAATTTTTTATTTTTTTAAAAACAAAACTAATTAAATAATAGTAATAAGGGAAATGTGACACGAGAATCTTGGCATACAGAAACAAATATGGGTTAGTATACTCGTGAGGAGTATTGACTTAAAACAGTGCATGTTTAGGTTTTTTTATAAACTAGATTCATAATATATATATATATATATAATTTTCTTTAAACTTTCTCTTAAAGATTAAAAATTTTAAAAATATGGAATTTTTTTTAAAAGTTTTATTAATACTAAAAAAAATTATAAACTTTAAAAGTACCTTTAAATTTATTTTTAAAAATTTAGAAAAAAACACATTTTAATTTATTTTAAAACTTAAAAATACTGTTTTTTAGTTACAATTTTTTTTTTTTTATAAAAGTTAAGAATGACTATCTTTAAATTGTATAACTTTATTTTTAAACCCGGTAAAAACATTTTGAATTTTTAAAAAAATTTAAAGAGTAATAGCTAAACTTTTAACAGTTACCCCGTTTAAAAAGTTTTTGAAATATAATATTATCCTGGTAAAGGATATTTTTATTTTTTAAAAATTTAAAATTAATTTTTATTTTTTTGAAATTTAAGGATTTTTTTGGATAAAAAAAAAGCATAGATATTTTTATTAAATTAGTTTTTTTTTTATATTATTAAATATAAAACCAAATAATGTGAAAAGAAAGAAGAGGGAGGTGTCGGCAGGTAATGAGTTGGGATATATTAAATCATACGTGGTTTTAGGTGCTTAATTATTTATAATTTAATCATAAAAGCATATATTAAAAGCTTCTGGTAATAGTTAGTATTCAAATGATTAATTAATTTCAATTTGTCAAAGGACAGCTAGCTACCTAGTTGCATTTATTCATTATTTCTCATATTTCAATTTATTTTATTTATTTTTTAATATTCTCATGTTCCAAATATGAAACCTTTTTTTTCAATAGATTCATATTATGTGGCTTCATATGCATGACGTTATCATTATCAATAAATTAATATATTATTATTAATGAGACAAGATATTTAAGTAATAAGACGCAGCCGCTGAATTTGGCAGCATTGATTTGATAACGACATAATTTTCCTAAAAATAAATAAATAATAATCAAACTATATTGTAAATTCATATTTCTAAGGAATCTAGATTTTTTTAAATAATTTATTTATTTTGTAGGAATTTTTTTTATGGATAACAAATATATATATATATTTTGTTTGTATTGATTTAATATTTATTTTTATATCCATTTATTTGGTATGTTATTTAGTGGATTTCCATATATTAATTTGAGGTTTTATAAAATATTAATACTCCAATAAATTTATAATAATCTCCAAAAGATTTGAATTCATAATAGAATAACTAAAAATGATTTAGAAAAATTGAAATTTAGAACTTAAAATCCAAACCCTAATTGGGTCGTTTAAAAATATTTAGTGAAATTTTTTTGAAATATGTTAAAATTTGATGATTTTGTCGATTAAGATCAATAGCACAACACTCAGAAAAAAATGATTTCGCTCTCGGCCAATTTTCAGTTCGTTTTCTGTCGAGATACCATTGACGACTTTTTTGTTCATATTGTAAGGTAGTCTCGAAAAAAAATAATTTTTTATAAAAAATGTCAGAATTTAGTGCAACTCATTTCTAGATTGAATTAGTTATAGAATATATAATATTCGTAATATTTAATATTTGAAAAATATATTAGTTAGAAAATATATTTTATATATTCTTAGCATCATATTTTATTTTATTTTTAAGATTTACTTAGTTTATATTTTCTTATTCTTAAATATATATTCTTCGGTTGAGTAATAATATTTTCATATCTATCTAGTGCGTGAGAAAATCATATTAAAACAAAATAGATATTGATTTCAGTGAGATTTAGGGTTTTGGGCATAGTGTAAAAAAAAAAAAGAAAAAAAAAAAAAAAGGAGAATCCGTTGAACTGAAAATAAGGTAAAAGAATCAAGTAATGAATCCGTACAATTCACCTAGAACATAACACAAAACAGGCCTTTTGTCGATTTCATGAGGTTGTTATGGCAGCGAGCAGTACGAGGGAAGGGAAAATCACATACTCTGATCCACCACTCTCATTTCATGCATTCAAACTTTCAACCCTTTTAAGATCCTTCCAATTTCATCCCCCAAACTTTTTCAACTTCACTATAAAATGCACCCATTGCATCAAATCCATCACTCAACACACTTATAAACCCTTCAAGAAATGGCCTTTCAAAACCATGATGCCTCTACCATCGTCACCGACCATACTCGACCCATCACAATCGTTCAAAATGGCGCCTCTTTTGTGCCAACTTTTCCCGATTGCTACGTCAATATTGATGAAGAATTTCCTGGTAATATACATTAAAATCATCTCGCGAACACAAGATTATAATTCGTTCGTATGTTACTGATTATTTTAATGATGTGATTAAGGGGAGGCACATGTGTATAAGCAAGAGAAGGTCATATTCCAAGGCAAATCCCAGTATCAAGATTTTTTTGTTTTTCAGGTTTATATATATAATTTTCTTGAATTTATTGTTATTATTGACTAATTTTTACTAATTTTTTTTATTTTTTTTATTAAATTTGAGTCACAAACATATGGGAAGATTGCTATATTGGATGGCTGCCTTCAGCTAACAGAGAAGGATGAGTGTTCTTATCAAGAAATGCTCACTCATCTCCCACTCTGTTCTATTCCCAATCCCAGAAAGGTTCTTTTTTTTCTTCTTTTAGATATATATATATATGACGGATAACTGACTAATTGTTACTTTATAGGTTTTGTTGATTGGAGGCGGGGATGGAGGAATTCTTCGAGAAATATCCCGACATGATTCCGTTGAGCAAATTGACATTTGTGAGCTTGACGAAATGGTGATAAACGTGAGTGAATGGTTTAAATTGATATAATTATTAGTTTTGAGTTTTAATATATACGAACCAAAATTTAGTAGAAACAAATTTTTAGTAAAAAGAAGTGATCTCACATGATCTATCGCTCAACCTTCACTTTTGGAGCTTTCTCTGCTCGATTGGTAAGTCGTTGCTGTTTCCAGCTTTGTGGCTAGCAAATGGCATTAGGTTTAACAAAATTATGAGACAGAACATGCATGGATGAAATTATGAGCGTTTTACCTTCAGGTTTACAAGGAGTTTTTCCCGGACATTGCCATCGGGTACGTGGATCCTCGTGTGAATGTACACATAGGCGACGGTAGGAAACAGAAAACTACATGTCTTTCGAGGAGTGTTGTTGGATTTTGTGTTTCGTAAAGTTGTCCAACTGTCGTAAACATTGCTGTTATTTCAGGTGTGGCCTTCATCAAGTCTGTTCCTCCAGGCACCTATGATGCTATCATAATTGATGCATTTCCAGGGATGGGTATGTGATCTTTCACTCATTCTTCACAAAAACTGCGAACAAAAAACTAAAGTTAACAAACATGGCAGCAAACAAATCTTTGATAATGAAATATCATAATTTTTACCTTAAAGAGAAGCTGAAGCCATAGTTGAATGTGGATATCAGGAGCTTATGCAACCGAGCTTTCGGATGAAGACTTCCTTAAGTCGATCGCAAAGGCTCTGAAGCCGGGTGGAGTACTGTCGGCTCAAGCAGACAGCGTGTGGATCAAGAATTTCACCATGGAAGACACCATAACTCGCTGTCGTAACATCTTCAAGGGCTCTGTAAACTACGCTTGGACCTCTGTTCCTTCATATCCAAGGCAAACCAACCAAAACCAAAACCAATAATTCTTTACTTTTATAATTCAGCACAATCTGTAGTTTTCTGATGGTTCCTTTCCAAATTCAGTGGGTCAATCGGCTTCGTGCTCTGTTCGACCAACGGTCCTTCGGTCGTCGACTTCAAACACCCGGTGAACCAGTTGGACCCAGAAAAATTTGGTGTTGCAAATGGACCCCCTAAGTTCTACAACTCAGAGGTGGTTCCTTTGGTTCATATTTGTTCATAAGCCTATGCTATTCATGTCACTTCTAAGTTCTAACTAATTGCCTATGTTTTGCTGTTTAGATCCATACTGCTGCATTTTGTCTCCCTGCGTTCGCTAAGTCGAAGATGGGTTCTACGTATGCATGAGAGACTCGAAGCTATAGGTATAAGAACATGCAAGCGTGTTGCATTCTATCAATAAGAGAAGTCCTATACAGCCTATACTAAAGTGTAGCAAATTCAGTGCTTACTCAACTGTAGGATGAAGGAAATTGTTGTCATTTCTAATATAAATGAATGTATCGTTCTATCACAATGGGAGATGTCTGATTTCAAGATCTTTTGGTTGCATAGACTTTATACAAAGATAATGAGGTAGAAAAAAATAGACAAACAGAAAGACTAGAACTCCGAGGTCAGCTTCTTCGCCAACAGCTGGTCGACGAGGGTTAGCCCAGTATATCTGGCTTGCGCACCACATGGAATATAGTGTAGCTACTACTATAATAAGCTTAACCGATTGATACGATTGTTTAGGAATCGACTTCGCGGACTTCACTCTGTGTCGTAAAGAAGCATGAATTGAATGGTATATTTTGAGGGCATGCTTAACATTTAAGAAAACTCTAATGACAAACGAAGTAAATGAATATAATTGGTATCCACGAACCTGTTAATGTAAACAAAGCCGCCAATTAAGCAAGTGCACAAGAATCCAACCACCATAACAGCATCTGGGTTGATTGGTGCTCGGTTCTCCCACCAACCAGTGCTCAATATCCAAGTGTACATTGATGAATGCCCGTTTTCCTGCAAATTTGTCGATACAGATATAATAGTACAACCCATCTTGTTTAATCACATAGCACAAAACAGGCAAGAACAATCCCACTTCATATGATACAGGTAACAACCCAAGCCACCGTTAGCAGATATTGTCTTCTTTGAGCTTTCTTTTTTGGGCTTCCCCTCAAGATTTTAAAACACGTCCACTAGAGAGATTTCCACACCCTTCTAAGAAATGCTTCGTTCCATTCTTCAACCGATGTGAGATCTCACAATCCACCTCCTTGGAGGCCCAGCGTCCTCGCTGGCACACCGCCTGGTGTCTACCTCTGATACCATTTGTAACAGCCCAAGCCCACTGCTAACAAATATTGTCTTCTTTGGACTTTTCCTTCCGGGCTTTCTCTCAAGGTTTTAAAACGCGTCTATAGAGAGAGGTTTCCGTACGCTTGTAAGAAATGTTTCGTTCCCCTCTCCAATCGATGTGGGACCTCACAATCCACCCTTTAGGGGCCCAGCATCCTCGCTGGCACACCGACCCGTGTCTGGGTTTGATACCATTTGTAACAGCCCAAGCCCACTGCTAGTGGATATTGTCCTCTCTTTAAGGTTTTCCCTTTCGAACTTCCCCTCGGCGCTTCAAAACGCATTCACTAGGGAGAGGTTTCCACACCCTTATAAGGAATGCTTCGTTCCCCTCTCCAACCGACGTGGGACCTCACGATACAACTTAAAACTTAAAAGAAAGCTGAACATTGATGAACTAATTGATCAAAGACAAGATATATCAATTGTACTTCTCATCTCAACAGAGAACGTTTATCAACTAACTTGTTAATACAACAAAGATCTCAAACTTCATTAACAAGATAGTAATAACGAGGTGAATTTCTCTTGCACCCTCCTAGATAATAAGAAAACTTCTATTTTAACCCACGTCACATCACATCTCTTCATAAAAGGTGCTTTACCAGAGGAGATGCTTCATTTAGCAGCATTATTATATTATATCAAGCAAGAATATTTCTTTTAACAATGATTCAATAACTTATGGAGGCAGAAAGGTTGGTAATGGGGCAATTCAAAATTCTTGATGTAAAGCATACCTCAAACAAATGGTCAAGAAAGAAGTGTGAAAAAGAACCAGCCGAGATTAACAACAAGCATTGCCTTCTATTAAGAGATACCTACATCATTAGAGCAAAATGAACAGGATGAAGGTTAAGGTTAAATATTTCAACACAATCTTATAAAGGATTGACAAAATTTTTCCATTTCTTTTCACGAGATGCAGAAAACTCATAAACATATCAATTGACTAACGCATTTGCTACTAAAAGAAAGACAGAGTTCTACAAAAATTCATCATCATACATGAAATCAATCCACGCGAGCATTACTTGAGAATCATCTTACAATAAAGAAAAACAAAACGGAATCAATCATAACAAAATCAAGCCATAAGAACAAGTGAGATTATGTAAAAAAACGAGAGATCTAATTAGATTTTCCACACAAATTCTGCAGATTTACTACAATGACCCAAAAATCGAAAACAGAATTTCAAAACCTCCCCAATCGACGAAAGGACGAACTGATCGAGTGAAGTGACTCACCCCAAAGACGGAATCGAGAAGGCCCTTGCGGAGTAGAACGGAGGAGAGCCAGGCGTAGAAGAGGCAAAGAGGAAGACCCAGAATGAGGATGTAAAAGACGGGGTGATGGATGGCGTCGGGAACTGAAGATCCTGAGAAACCGAGAACAGAGGATAGCCATTCGGAGAAGGAGCCAATGTCGGGGCCGAAGAAGGCGTTGATGGTGTAAATGAGAGTATGATGGGGACTGAATCTGCCGTCGCTGAGACTCATCAGAGCCATGCCTGAGCCCATGGCGTAGAGCATGTGCGGTCCAGGTCCAGGCATGGTTCGGTCTCCAACAATCACAGCCGCCGCCCAAGTTCGATAGAATGCCACTTCTAACTAGAGCTGAGGGGAACGGAAGCCGTTGACTCCCCCTCGCCGGACTTTTTTCCATCCATCCTTTTGGGCTTTTTCGGAAGCTTTTGGGCTTTTGAGCTTTTGGGCTTTTCGGAAGCTGTTGGTCTTTTGGGCTTTTACGGAAGCTTTTGGGCTTTTGAATAGTGAACTGGGCTTCGTAGGGAGCCCAAACTTCCGTATTAGGTGAGTCATGTAGAAGCCGTCCACTTTTCGTCCAAAAAAAGTTATTAAAAAAAAACCGTCCATTTTTATTATATATAAAAGAGTGAATATTAGTTAATGCCAGTAGTAGGCAGTGGATAGAAGCGCCAGCGAAATTTGATTCCGTAAGTGGGACCCACAACCTTGATCATTCGGATGCCAGCTAATCTCGGGCCCCACCCTGTATGTACTATATCAGTCTGTACGCGAAGTACAGGATCATAACCCTTCACCTCCCACAACGGCTTTAAAAAATCCCGTTTTCCATTTTTTCGCATTATAATTACTCTTAAGTGCTCTCTCTCCCTGTCACGGCTCTGTAGCTTTTGGATAATAGAACTACCGGCTAACAAACGGTGGGCCCTACCACTTTACCGGAAGTCTCCGGTTTCTGAAACCGTTGGCTCTATATACGGAGAGCGTTATCCGCCTCTGAAACCCTATATCTCTACCTACAGCTATGGGGGACCGTGACGGCGGTTTCAAAGAAATAGAATCAATCGGAGAAATCGACGGCGCCGATGCTCTTTTGGCGTCTAGACGCTATGGTTGTTTTTGCTTCCCTTGCTTTGGACAAAGCCGGTCGGCTTCCGACGAACTTTCTTGGTGGGAACGGGCGAAGGCGAAAGCGAAATCGACGAAGTTCGACGGCGAGGATCATTGGTGGAGTGGAGGAATCAGATCCCTCAAGAAGCTTCGTGAATGGTCCGAGATCGTCGCTGGTCCGAGATGGAAGACCTTCATTCGCCGGTTCAATCGGAACCGGCCTGCCGCCGTGAAGCTTGGGAAATTCCAATATGATCCCATCAGTTACGCTTTGAATTTCGACGAGGGACACAACGGTGATGTGGATTTCGAAGGGGATGAATACAGTGGTGGGTTTCAAAACTTCTCCGACCGGTTTTCCGCCGTGCCGGCTTCGGGGAAGTCGTCGGGCGCGGCGGTGGCTAGTTAGGATGTGGCGGCTACGGTCTTTTTTTCTCTGGTGAAGTTGAACGGGCGGTTTCCATTCTGTGCTGAGGATTTAACGTATCTTTTTCAGTTGATGAGCTGGAAGTTGACCGTTCGCGATAGGAGGCACCAATGGCGTCGGTACGCGTGTTAAATAAGATAGTTTATTATATTGTGGGGGTGACGTGTAGCAAAATGATTGGTATTCATATTCTTATAGTTGATATAATTTTTATTTTTTTCGATTAAATTGTATATTCAAAATTTCAAGTAGAGATTTATTCATATAAACTAATATTTTCGTGAAGTGTGTGTATAATTTTTGACTTGGTACTAAAGCTGTTCACAATAAAATTATTATTATCGTGATATATATAGATGGAATTAAATATTTTTAATTATTTATTTTTGATAGGTTCATATTATTTTCTAAAAAAATTTCAAAAAATATTAGTTTAAATTACTAACCAAACTTCATTCGAGTTGTGTTCGTTGATAGGCATGATCATGTGCAACCGAGCTCCATGCACGAAGAGTAAGAAGGGATTCTCTAACGATATTGCTTCTATTTATCTTGAATCTCATTGGTCGTTTGTTTAACAATTCTTTTTCGTCAAAAGTATTTTCAACTGAGTTACATTTCTTTTCCAAGAACATACTTAAAACTTAAACATGTGTTATTGTATCGCTATTGTACGCGTCATTATCATATCATTTTCTATCTTCATTTTCACATCAGAGTTATTTTCAAACAAAATTAAAGTTGATAAAGAATGAAATATTTAAAAGATTAGGGACGTTTTTTTTTAATATACCTTAAAGTTCAAGAAAGATTCAAACCTCCAAAAAGTGAGTGTGTGAGATCACACATTGCCCAAAGAGAACAATATCTAGGTGAGATTGGGCTGTTACAAATGATATTAGAGTCAGTCACATAAAACGAGGAATAGGGGTAAACCCTCTCCACAGTAGACACATTTTAAAGCCGTAAAAGAAAACCCAAAAAAGATAATGTCGGTTAGCGGTGGACTAGTCTATTACACAAGCAAACTCTAAGACGGAAGGATTCGAACCTCCAAATAAGAAGTAAAGTCCATGACAAAACCAGAGTCTTAACATTTCAAGACCATCTATGTAATGGAACTTTCATTTCATTGCAAACAACAAGCCATTGAATGAAGGATGATCTGAATCAAGTAAGGCCTTAGAGATCAACATGACCAGCAATATCATGGTCATGACTAAAACGTCACAAGTGTAAATGAAATGAACATTTGTGGACATTCCTCAAGGATTGCGGTACGAACCGCTAGTTAAGGAGAAAATACTGCTATCCATCCATATCGACCATACAAGCTAAAGGTCTCAAGAATGGAGCAAA